CCTGCAAATCGTGAAGCATCTGGAACGCAACTATTCATGATATATGTGTTTATATTCCTTATTTTTGTGAAAATGTATGTATAAATTAATATAAGCATTTCGCCTGAAAGATCAAGTTGTTGCTTTTGCTTGTTCTTATCATGATTAGTAGTTATTTTGTTTTAATACGGTGTTCACATGAGGGATTTTACAGACAACGAATCGCCTGGTGGTATTGAAAATGGGCGAAATAGGACAGTAACCACGCCTACCTCCCATATAACGGTAATTTTCAGAAAAACTGCAATATTTTAGTCACTACTGAAGATTATTCACTCAAAATTGAAATTTACAATAAATTTTATATAAAAATAAGATTATAATTTTTTGGAGAATGGGCGTGGCCACGCCCACTTATGGTTACATGTGTATATCTTGGTAACCGCTGCACCAAACTTGGCACAGTTGTTGGCCTTGGTACAGCATACCAAATGGCCGAAAATTTTTAAAATCGGACAATAACCACGCCTCATCCCATTTATCCCTCATATCATTAATCAGTAATTATTAAAGCTAATTTATTCAAAATTGATGCTTGCAACAATTCTTTACGAAGAAATAAGTTTATGATAAAATTTTGGAAAATGGGCGTGGCACCGCCCACTTATGATCACATATATGTATCTCGGTAACCGTTCAACCAATTTGTACCAAACTCAGTATGGTTATTGTGCTTGTCACATAAAAGCAAAACGTTGAAAATTATTGAAATCGCACTAAAATTACGGCCGCTTTTCATATAACGGTAAATTTCAGAAATGCCTGAAACTTCAATATTTCGAAATTTAAGGACGCTAATTTACTCAAAATTGATACACCCCGGTTTACCATGTAGCGGTAGCTTTCGGAAAGGTGAAAAACATATACATATTTAATACTTGCGCCGGGTATTTAATGTTCGGCTCCGCCCGAACTTAAGACTTTCTTACTTATTTAGATTACAATTATTATAATTATAATGTTAACATTTATGATTACAATTAAAGGAATCATAATCATTTATAATGAGAGGATTACAATTAAGCAATCGTAGTTAAAATGTAATCGTAATAAAAAATTACCCAGCTCTGCAGTGAAATTGGAGAGGTTGATTAAACTAATTTTAAAATTGCCTCATGTTAAGACCGTGTAATAGAAGAATTCTAACGGTCGACAACAGCGAATTCAGTAGAGAATTTGTGACAAATCCCAAAAACCACTCGCCATGTGGGCACTTTAAATTATATTTGCTTTAAGTCCTCTTTGCTGCCCAATTTCAGACTGATGCCGCAGTTCATAATGACAAGTTTCCCATAGTTACCTTAATATTTGTTTAAATATAAGCACCCTCTTTTAACATTTTTTTTTTATTTTCGGTTGAAATTACATGTATTGTATTCATTCAATGCTAATTAACTTTTACCTTAAGCCGACGAAGTAATTACATCGGTGTACAATTTCACTTTGCTGGCAATGCTCATATCAACGTATTTATCGCCAATGGAAACGATTAAGCCACCAATGATGCTGGGATCCACGCGGGATGTAATTTTCAACTGTTGGTTACCTTTGAGGAATGCCTGAAATGCAGAGATTAATGAGCAATTGAAAATATGGAAATATTGAGGAAACTAAAAAAACTCATATTTTGAATACCCTAAGAGCTGATTCCAACTGTTTGTTTTGTGACGAATCCAACGGCTTGGCAGTGACGACTTCGCACACAACTTCGCCACGATGGGCAGCCATAATAATTTTGAAGGCATTTATAACCGAGTCAATATTTTTCAAGCGTCGATTTTCAGCCAACAGTCCCAGAAGGTTGGCAGTAGCTGGTGCCAACTTCAACTCGCCGGCAGTCTTATTTAGTGTGTTTGCCATAAGCTTTTTGTTGATAATTGGACTGGTAATAGCCGTGCGGAGCGAAGTACTTGTCTTCAAAGCACCTTGCAAGGCATTCAGATCCTTCTCCACCTGATCCAATTGCTTCAATTTGGAAGCAGCTGAGTATAGAGATGTGGCATAACGGCCTTCAAGACCAAATACTTGAATTGGTGGCTTTACAGATTGAGTTCGAGAACTAAGCGAACGGCTCTGAGGAAAAACACAAAAAAATATGGTTACATTACATAACCAAAAGAACACAAAATTTTCTATCACCGGACGAGGTGAATATTACAGAGAAAGCTTTTACTACCAAAAAGATTTTAATTAATCATACTAAATTTGCGTATTTAAATATAATTTCCTTGATTTGACATACCAAAACTGCAAGTTTATTAGCGGCCGCCATCCTGGAAAATCTGAAGAAATTTTTCACAAACGTCGTTCACTGGATGACACGCAGTGCTACCAACAGTTTTCAATTATGTAATAGGTTTTGGCAACTCTACAATCATGCTGCATGAAATTCTTCATTCTTGCCACAGCACCAAAAATACAAGATCACGTAAGAACGCGACGTTGTATTTGTAAAGCTGATGTCACATAAAACTTTTGCTTCGCTTTACGTGACAGATTCGCTTTGACAGATAAGATGAATTGTATGAAAATGCACAAAGCATGCCACATAAATCGTTGAAGCGGCAGCGCGAAGCGAAAAGATGGTCAACTCCCATCTTTTTGCGCGCTTTGGCAATCAGCCGGTTTAATATTTATTTTGTTTCGTCCAAATTAGGGTTTTCATGCAGAAACATAAAACTTAATTACATTGCTGATAATTTTAAATCAAAATAATTAAAATCCACAGCAACTTTGATGAGTAAAAAAGCGGTACAACATTGTTTTCTTGGCGTTCATTGTGGCATACCTTTTGCGTCTGGCGCTTTGCTGGCAAAGTTATAAATGTCACGCAAAGCTACAAAGTTTTATCTGCCATCAGCTTAACTGGTTTTGAAAAAAAAGTTTGCGAAAGCGGGTTCGTCAGCTGAGCGTTTGTTTACATCACAAGCACCATGCTCAGCTTGCATGCTTGCCGTTAGTAGCGTGGTTTGCGAGCATCGCATTGGAAACAATAACTACAACCTCATTTTGTTTTGATGCTTGAAGTGTGCACATCGGCGGATAAATGCATCCAAGCCATGTTCGTTAATTGAATTAAAATATAAATAAATTTAAGTAACACATACATAAAAAAGCTTAAGTTAAAAACATTGCAACTGTATCATTCGCGTCTTTGCTAATCATCTTTACGATACCACGACAAAATCACATATGAGCCGCGCTCCGTCTGTGGCAAACGACAGCGAGCATGTTGGCGCACATGTGCGCGCAGATGTTCGTCGTGTGTAGCCAGTTTTATGTATACTTGCACTGCTATACCATTAATGTTACGTAACATTACTTGCAAGTCTTTTGAATTTTGATTTTCTACGTAAAATCCATGTGACCTTTAAAATTTGTGATGGCGATCTCGCACATCCCCACTAAATAGTTGGGAGGCTCAATAAAGTCCGCACTATGTGGGGACTCGTGGCGCCCTATTCCCACGCCACTGACTGCATGCCAAAAAACTTGGCTTTAAGCGCTCTAATATGAAAATTCCCCGTTATTTATGAACTATTGAGTACGAGACGAAGTAACAATGCGTGTAGCTTTAAATCTTTCTGCTCAACTGCCCCGATAAGAAAGTCTCACATTTTTATCTAAAGGCATGACAATACAGCTTGTACGATCGGACGAAAATTTAATATCTCGGTGAACCTTTATTCGACATATTTAGCTCAGTAATATAGAACCTCAAATAAAGAACATTCAGTTCCGTCTAAAAAGGTGCAGTTTATTCATAGTTCCCTTGGACATAAATTATAAAAACTGCAATTTTTGGTTAGCCTACCCGGCATTCATTGAACAAACTTTTTCTTCTTTAATATTTGGAGATTTTTATTCAGAAAACTATGTATATATAGTTTTGAGCCGTATATTCGTTCATTTTGATAAATGCTAAGTCCTAACCTTAATTTAATTCGCTTTTCACCCCAATTGCATACAAACTGTTGGCTTTTAAGTCCCATTTGTGAAGTTATCGTCCTCCGATTAGCGGCTCAACCCATCAGCTTTAAGCTACTACGAATGAAAAAAAAAAAATACCACTAATTCATTCAGATTTGCTAATAGAAATCAAACATATGTATATCAAAACTCGTTGAAATCCAATTAAAAAAAGTTTGAATATTTAAAATTATTAGTCGATCAGACACTTTTAATTGCATTTCTTATAATTAAAGAAATCGATCTATGTAGAAGACCCTTGAAAAATTTTATTTTCAACTCCGTTTACTTTTCATCTAAAAAAAATCATTTCGTTAATTTTAATTTCCTTGAATTATTTACTTCGTTCTCTTACCGTCTTCATCGTCTTCTTCGCCTTCCCCATCGTCATCGTCAAAAAGTTCCTCTGCGAATTCAATATGTACATAGATAAGTAAGTGACTCACATAGAATATCAATAAGAATTTGATAAAAATTTACCCTCATTGTCCTCATTATCGTCTTCATCATCTTCTGGCTCCACTTCAATATCAGGTACCAAATAATACTGAAGAGGATTGGGCCAGAGATCATCTTTGATTAATTCAGCAATCTCATCATTAACTGGATCAGTGTTGTCTGAGAACCAATCGAAAAATGTCTTATAGTCCGCGGGTCTTTTCCGTTTGTTTTGTTGATACGGCTTGGTCATGCATGATCTTATAAGATCTTTACCGTCCTTCCATTGAATGGGTGTGCTCGTTGATGATGGACAATCACTGTTTTCCGCATCTGAACAAAAATATTGGAACATAATTATTTTCTTGAGATTTACCACTTTTCGACATTTCACTTACTTCCCGAACCTAAATGGAACTCTTTAGTAAGCACCTTATTTTCAAAATAGGGATTTTCGTCGAAGTAAAAATGAATGCGGTATCCCGATTTAATGTCTTCGAATTCCTCAACCTCCAATTTGGTAAGAGCATGCAGGCATTCCTCTTCTTCTTCGTCCAAAATAGCCGACACTTGTGGATGGTTGATAAACTTCGGATATACATGTAAACAGATCCGGTTAAT